CACACACACACACACACATATGTCACATAATGTATCCTTTGCAAGGCCGCATGGCTCCATGGTCATATTTGGAACTGATGGTAATCCATAAACATGTATTGTGTGCCTTGGCTCTGGTCCTGAAAACATGATTGAATCTGTATATAGACAGGAAGATGTGAATCCCAAGAAAAGGCCACAGATAGAAGAAAACACCATTATTGTCATCATTTCGCCCCACAATAAAGGTTATATATGACTCATAACACCATTATGGTATGATGTTTTTCCATTCTTTTAAGCTCTTTGTTTTTCAGGTCACTCACCAGTCAAGGTCTGCTGAATCAGATAAAATAAATAAAAACTTAGCGACATTAATTTCTGCGATATGTGGTCTTAATAAACTCTATTCCATGTGACAGAACAGGTGATAAATGCATAAATTGCTTAAGAAAACCGCAGTGAATGTCATGACATCAATAAAATAAATTACATTTCATTGTCCTTAAGTACTATTCTAAGGAGCATGTATTTAAATATTTTGATTTCCACCTTACCTCTGGGCGAAGTTTCCGTAATTTGTTTCTTTCATTTATTAGCTGCAGTTCATTAATATGCAGATGACGCTTTAGTATTAAATTAGCTCCACATCAATCGCCTTTAAACATAAATTGCTGCTAACACATGAATGGGATTAACATTAATCCAATAATAAATATGTACATAATCATATAAATATGCTAGAGGCATTTCTATGTGTGACACGTACATTATCATAAATGTTTATTAGGCTATGGTACTTGTGCATGTACTTTGGAAAAGCAGCGTTGCATATACAGTAGCATGTGTTTTTTGGAGACTCTTGTGTGTTAGTCTTCACACATGTAAAGTGTTGTTGTTCTTATTTTCCACCATCTTTAAAACCTGAAAACAAATTGATACTTTGATTTGGTGTTATGAGAATGAAAGGCATCTTGGGGATGCTCATTCTCTAACACATAATGAATACACAAACGAAGGCTGGTGGAGGTGTAGGGTGCAGGCTTACCTCCGGTCAGCAGTCAGCGGTGAGCTCCGACCATCAGGTCTCTCACAAGCGGCCAGCTCAAGCACACAGTCTCTTTCTCGAGTTTTCTGTTGTAACATGTTGGTCAAACATAGAGGAAACAAAAACGGGAGGTTGTGGATGTCCGTCTATTTGTAGCAGTGTCACACATGGCTCAGCCTCGAGATTCCCACGGATGCTGTTTCTTCACTCACCTGGGCCACTGTGTTAATATAATAAGCCCCACCCACTTACCAGCCAGCCAAACTCAAAAAGAGGAAGTCATACTTACTAAGAGACTCATGGAGAACACATTTCTATGCTGATTTATTCACATTTTTATTTTAATGATTATTGAGGAATCCTTGTTTTCATAAAAGCAAAATCAGCTTTTCAGTCAGAGTTCTGTTTTCTCGGTTTCCTGGAGGAAAAAAAACAGCTTAAATAACAATTTATTTTTGTATTGCTTTTTTGTATTACAGTTTAAGAGTGAAATGTTTTTGTTTCTTTACCCTGCTTCAGTGCTCTGCCAAGTGTGCTGTATTATTATTTCTCAATGATGTTTCTTGTCCTGGGAGATCCTTGGGTATCATGGGAGTTTGTTATTTTTCAACACTACATCAAGCTCAATGTTTACACACTGCAATGACACAATGCTGAAACAACGACACAAGAAATCCCAAATGAATGTTTGTCATACTGACTTTATTAAGATAATTTCAGACAAAACATATGTTTCTTCAGAGACAACATAGAATAACATGAAAACAGTTGACGACTGTCTTAACAAATGGACCCATTTTAAATGGTAAAAGGCTGCCTACTCTAGCACAAAAATAAACATTCACCATATTCACACGGCAGCAATTTTCCACTGATGTTATGTCGAGGGTGGAAAACTCAAATTCTGTTATTTTGTTTTAATGTTGTGTTCAAGGTTGCAAGTCTTTTGCTAATTGCGGATGATTAATTTATCTTTTCACCTCACCGATCTCAATTAGCAAATACAAACAGAAGGACAAAACCAAAGATTCTTCTGGCAATATTTTGATTTAAAACTACAAATCTGATAACCCATTAGCACTGAATAGTATTAAAATATGAGGTATAGAAATTCCTCGCTAAAAGTAATTTTAGCAAGCGAACAGTAATGCTAGCGATAATTGCTGTTTTGACTTAGTACAATTAGAACCTAATCCCTTTGCTTACCTCAGACAAATGCTGATATTTCAAGGTAAAAGAACATATTCGATAACTTGGTACTTACTGCAAAGTCACAGCAGCTAATGTTAGCAACCAACCGATTCCTAGCTTACATTAGCATTAGCTTTCTTAGTCCTATCGTATCTGTTAACCAATTCACAGAAAAGTTAGCAACAAAGAGGTACAAAAGCTGATGTTAACTATTAGACCATTTTGGTGTTTGTGTACAGTAAAAGTTTATTTTGTGGGTGAAGCCTAACTGGTGGCAGAAGGTTAGTTAGCGATAGCTTGCGGTCAATTCACATCAGAAAGTTATGGTCTGTTTGAACGCCTTATTCTCCAATTATTTTGATTGTTTGGCAGCAGAAGACAATTACAGTGACAAGTAAACCCCTAAATAATGGGGTGAGGTTTTCTAACCTGTACTCACGGTCAGGTCAGTGGGTCAAACTATATGGCCAAAGTTACAGCGGCCAGAGATGTTTGCATACCATGTGGAGAAACCCAGCCTTCAAACTGAAGAAAAACTCAAGGCATACAAATCTTGTGGTGCATGAAATTGTTTTACTTTGTGGTCGTGTCAAGGACATGAAAGACTGAGATTTGTCAGATGTTTTTTAGCTTTTTGTTTATTGAGGACTGAAGTAAGCCTACTGCCTAGCCAGAGGCAAGGATATAAATTGCAGCTTTACATGAAGTTGTATAGACGATTGCATTTTGCTTCAAAGGATGTCATCGACAACAGTATTCTATAGAAATTGTTGTTCCTATTCTGATATCCAACGTTTCTTTCCCCGTTTACCAGGGATCTGTCCTGCTTCTCTGTTTCTCTCCACATGTTTTGATTTTCTGCCACCACAAGGCGCGCGCAACTGCTGTGACGTCTTTTATCAGTAGTTGATCGGCTAATATATACGGTAGGTTTTATTAACCTTAGATACACTCAAAATGTTTCCTTTCCACACATTGAATGACAATTTCCAAACTCCTTATTTTACAAGGTTTTGATCTGGAACAGAGCAGTACAACGTTAAAAGCCGCTGAGCTTTCCACCCAGTGTGTGACGTCAATGGAAAAATGTTGCCGTGTGAATCGATGAGTTCCATTCAATAAAATCAAAGCAGACATTTATGACATGTAGTTAAGTTACAGACATTGGGTAAGAATTCAGAATTGGACATTGTTAAAAGGCCAGAGGAAGATTGCATTCACATAATTGTAGGCTTAGTTTCTGTGATACACATTCATTCGAGCACACATACATACTCATTTTTCATGAAATGTGTTGTATGTCTGAAATGAAGAGATGGTTGCCAGAGGTAACGAAGGGATCTACAGGGTTAACAAGAGAATTAACTGACAGCCTGTCTGATTTCACTGTCAGCGCTCCGACTCAAATAGGCGCTCACCAGGGCTGCTTTAACACAGGTAACAGAATAGCTGACATTTGAAAACTAGAGAGAAAGTCAAATATTGCAGCCGCTTCCTAAATGTAAATTGGGGGAAAAAAGTTCTCACTAGCGGCCAATTTTTTTTTTTTTTTTTAAATAATGTTTCCTGAGAACACCAGGTTTGTGAGTGTTGAATATTTAGCTGGGAGGCTTCACTGCAGTGAGACATTCAGACAATATAATGTCAGGATGTCAGTATCAGCAGAGATACGCTGTGTTTTTTGGACAGCGGGGGAATCTCATGGCAAATGTCAAACAAAAGGAAGAAAAAAACAACGTGTGATGTGTCACGCACTGACTGTGACCACGATGCAACCCGAGCCCGAAATCTTTACAGGAGAATAAAACACACACATTACTATACATAACATATATAACAACCTTATGTATTTATATAAGTGCCTTGATAAGAATTGTCCCAGTTCTCCGAATACTTTAAAGAACAAAGCAGGTAGAAGAAAATAGTTCATAGTAAGAATATCATACATCACTTACAAAAGAATTGAACATGATATAAAAAAACAACAACCTTTATATAGACATTAAATACAAGTTAACCTCATCATATTGCACAAATACTCAAGTGGCAATGTGTATTTTAAAAGACACGTTTTAAAGACTTATTTGGAAGAGGACTAATCAGGAATGAAGGTGAATAAATTATATTCACAATCTAAGCCAGTAGGTGAGTAACTATTGGGAGTGTTATGATATGAGTAACAGGAGATCAGTATATAAGGTTTAACGTCACAATGTCACTGTGTCAGAGCTTTAGTATTTACTATGGATACAAATCTCTTTCCTATATCACAAGACTTGACATGTGATTGGAATATTTTCAAAGACGTAGGAGAGTGTCAAATACATTAAGAATTGGACAAAAAAAAATGTCCCAGCTCAACCATCACTATACAGTTTTTGCCCTCCTAAAAATCCTGGATTCCTATTTATGCAGATTCTGTGAAGAAGTAGGGAAGTTAAAGCTCCTGTTAGGAACTTTGTTAGGTAGATTTTGGCGCCCCCCTGTGGACAAAGCTCTTAATGCTGAAATTCCCCCGTAAATGTTTAAAAAATGTTCTTCGTGGGAAAAAAAATTCTTCTTTGTTTTATATGTTTTATATCTCACAATGAATCTTTGGTGTTAACATTTTTTTTAAATGGCTGTTTCTGCAGCATGCCTACAATGACAACTACCCCACAGCATGGGTCACAGGCAAATTAAATTGTACATTAAATGTACAAATAATCTTTCTTTCCACTGATTGGTAGAGTTTGATTTTTAGGTAGTATAGAAGCCTCAGTTTTTATTTCAGTCTGCTCGGTTAATTAACTCAGTTATTTTAAATGAGACGATAAACGTAAATGTGACAGCTGGGAAAAATGTGTAGTTACTTTCTGACAGTCTTCATGATGTTAGACGACAACAGATTGACTCTCGTATTGATGCAAACCATAGACTGTAACATTGACTATTCCTTTACATTTTAAGCATATTCACACGGTGGACATTTTCCTCTGATGTCACACACACAGGGTGGGAAGAAGAAACGCTACTAAAATGTTGTCCGGCAGTGTTCCAGCAGTGCAAGTCATTTAAAAAACAGGGCATCAGATAAATCTTTGTTATTTTACTGCTTTTGGACTGATCAGCAACTGAAAACAGAATGGATAGTGAAAATCAAGAATGACATTGGGATGTATTTTAATTCAAACCAGGTACATTGTACAACAGCTAATGTTTGCATTCTACTATTCTACTACTATCTAGCTAACATTACAGTTGGAAAGAGTTCCTTGAGCCACAAGGAAACGCCTTTCTTCCCAGTTCACATTACTTTATACTGTGATGGATTTAAGCTTGTCTCTAATGTAAGATAAGATTCCTAAAATCTACCTGTTTGGTAAGCTAACGTGCTAACCCTGATGTAGCTTATGGTGATGTAAGCGAGGAATTTACTCCTATATAAATATGGCCCTATGATTCCCCTTAGTTTGACTTTCCATTGTCTTTTCAGTTGCTGATCAATTGAGAACATATAATCAATTGTTATGACGTCAAGAGGGAAAAGGCTGCCATGTGAGTATAGAAGAATGGTTATGTCATAGGGTCCACATTTACTGTTTTCTGAGCTGGTGACTTTTAAAGGAAATTCACAAGTTCAACAAAAGGGGGTTAGGTATATAGATATATCATAATTACCTATTTACAGTCCAAACGTATGAGTCTGCCAGTTTTCAACTGGAAAATTGGCTTTTCTAGCCCATTTGTTTAAAACAAACATTTGCCGCTAATCTCACAGATTTCATTTCCTTCTGCGTGACAACTACTAATTAAATGTGAATTTCATTATGGAATATTTCAGGCTCTTGGTACCTAAAAAAAAATCCCCCCGAGGAAAAGTTTCTAGGAGTTTGGTCTCATCGAGGTAGCAACTCTTCACGGTGTAGCAGGGATCAAGGATAACTTCTTTGTTGAAGCAAAAGCTGTGACTGTGTTGGTGATCCGTAAAATCAATAAGAACTCTAATGATTATTTTCCTTCTGTTGCATTCATCTCAGAACTCGAGTGGCTTGCTACATTGTGAATGAAAAGACACCAAGTATAAGGGACCGTCAAGACTTGTCAAGACTTTCTCCTCAAATGAAGACAAAGTCGAGGTTTTAACACCTTTTACAGCAGCGAGTACATGTACAGGGTTGTGATTATACTGGCCTATAAACCCTTGAATGCAATACATAAAGGTCCTTTTTATGTGGTTTCTGGACACAGTACATTAAACTGATGGCTTTATTTAAGAATCTGAAGAAAATGGACATGATGCAAAAGGAAAAGTACTGGAATTTCACCTCCAGAAAGACTATTTTGGGGAATCTCCACCCTGGTGTGTAGCTGTATCAGTCCTAGGTTTGAAAAAAATGATGTTCAGAGTTGTGCTGCATGTATCTACTCACATGTGACTGTATTTCTGATTTGGCAAACACAAGTATGATTGAATCATTTATAGGTTGATGCTACCTTTAAGGCATAAAAGAGACTTGGGATCGGCTTTGTCGGGTTCTTCAGAAAATCAAGTATATTTCTGTCTATTTTAATAAACACTGGGGGTACAACTATTGCATAGCATGAAATGGCACCATCACTTTGTTTTGTGAGCTACAGATGACCCAGATGGTCAGTTAGAACAGTTACCTAAAGTAACAACAGACAAAAAGGCAGAAAACAAGATTAATTCACCAGAAAAATCGAGAGCTAACTACAAACTTAGCTCCGGACTTCTTAACAAAAATAGGAGGTAGCTGTTAAACTGTTGACCTCGAACGCCAATTAAGACAAACACCCCTTGATCAGAGCATCTGGTTTGATCTTTTTAGTCCCAGAGACATGGCTGATAACTTTTTAGACTGACCTCGACAATAGGCCATCGTATTCTGGTAGCTCAGATGTGAATTCAAAACAGCTTTTCATCTGTTTTTCAAAGTCGGCCTTCTGACTGGTTTGTCTCCTGTCTGACTATTATTGTGCTGCCATCACACAAGCACAATTCATTGAAAGGAATGTAGTGAATTTCCTGTTAGCTCTTGGGGGGATATGGTTTGTTTTTCCTGTTGCTTGGGAGCCAATTTCTTTTTTCTCTTGCCCTCTTTAACTTCCTGTGTTGGAGCTTGATTTTACAGAGAGGCTACGGAGGTGAACGTCAGAAGCCATTGATCAGACTGCTGTTATCCGTAACTCAGCACCCCCCTTCTTTCACCATCACATTCTCCCAGATCACAGCCGTTTGTGTGTCGAAGACGTGGGTTGTGCTCTTTTTAATATGAATTTGAAAAGGGGCATTGGAGGGAGAAATGCTTTTTTTTTTAAGCATTATTCAAGAAAATTAAAGCACAAAACCCATATAGGTGACTTTGAAGGGAGATGGTGGACCTGCTGCTTGTGGAGATGGACATGATCTCATGCCATGCTGCTGGTCGGTGTGCTTTGGGTGCTTCCGATGCTAGCGTTGGCGCTGCTGTTCTCAGAGGGGGAAGGGTTGTTAGAAACGGGTTGGCGCTTTGCTCCTGAGCAGGGACATCCTGGAGAGAAAAGAGACAGAAGCTAATAAACAACTGGAAAATATAAGAAAAGATAAAATAAAGAATATGAAGAAGTAGGAGTTTCTTACCAGGGAGATTCACTGCAGTTGAGCTGATGTCCAGTCCAGTTGGATACCCTTAAAAAGCATAATGTTTAAATTTAAGGTCCAAACATATTCAACAGGAATGCTCTGTATTATCAGTCATATATTTACCTGTTTTAATTTTGATGAACCACAGTGCTCCAATAAGCAAAACTCCAATCAGGAAGCCTCCAAATGCAATGCCCAGGACACCGGGTAGGCCGAAATCAAAGCAGGGTGGGGCTGAAACATAGATAAAGAAAAAAACAATGTAAGCAAGCTTCAGTTTATCAGCAGCTGAGTTGTATTTTTCTAAAAAATACACAATTTTTACAGTGACAGCATTTAGGTCGAAAGATGCTGTTAATCCTGGTTAAAGCACCAGTGTTGAGATACTCTGTTGTATTCTTATAGGCAGAGTCGGAATCTTTTCCCTGAAAAAATAGAATATAGACTTATACAGAAGTAATGATGCTCAATCATCACTTATAGGCCTCTATACATGTGTGGTGGGGACTGTGTCTGCAGACACCCTGTCCTCTGTCTGGATTTTGATGTTTTGCTTTGTATTGGTTGACTTGGGACTTTTCTGGGAGGGGAGCTGATGTCTTTCCCTGAACCAATAACAGCGCACAGGTGAGTTTCAAAGTGGATACAATTCAGGGATTGGACCCGATTCAAACTGGCGAATATAATGGAAGTAGATGTAGCGGCAAAGAAGATCAAATATTATCACAGTGAGGTGAAACGCCAAGTAGATAAAGCCTGTTCCAAAACGAGGGTGAACCTTGTGTTGGCTTTAACCCGCGGACGTGGAGTTAGCTTGCATTCTGTTGGACAAGTAGGTGCCAGACACTGGTGGTTAGCTTGTGCTAGCGTACAGTAGCTTGCACTTAAGTACAAGCAGTTAATGTACACAATACGTCCTGCAGTTACTATGCATTTCTGAGGGTGATGAACCCAGGAGAAGGGGCCAAGTCTGAATGTTGGGTTTGCAAGCTGCAACATGCTACAGACTCCCCCTGTAAACAGTTCCAGAGATACAGCATCGATATGTGTCCACTGCATGCTTATCTTCAAGGATGCAACGATGTATCAGTTCAACATCTGTATTGGTCGATATTGCCCCATTGAGAAACAAATATCTGATGTTTTGCATCAAATGAATGCTTGCAAGTCAATATATCTTACTGCTGATTCAGAGAAGAGCTTTTTTATTGGGCGGACAAAATCACCCGTTGAACAAACTCTGCTTTGTTTTTATGGTCAAATGTGAAAGAAGAGGTCGGCAGTGTGGGAATCTGACATCGCCTCTAGGTAGAATCAGCTACACGCAGTTTGGTAGACATGTTTCAGTGACATTTCAAGAAGAAGGACTACTTAGAACACATACACCACGTCTTAAACAGCTTAAAGAACAACATATATAATTTTAAATCAACAGTAAGTTGCCATGACAATACAAGACAAGATCCTGCAGTAAATGTAAAAGTCATTTCTTCTGCAGGGTTGGACCTCAGCTCAACTGAAATTTATAGAAGTAAATTTATGCTCAATCATTTTCTGTTCTCTAATGTAATGACTCAAATTTCAATTTGCAATCTAATTTGGAATTGGTGATGTTCTCCCCCCCCACATGCTGCACAGTCGACAAACTTAACAGAAAACATAAAGACCTGAGCAAAGAGCAATGAGAAAAATTATTTTCTCTCAATTCTTCCCTGATAGACGCCTATACAAGCCTCTGACATACTGCGGCACAAAAACACAATTCGGCAAGGTTTTGCTTCACTCTTTGTGGTCTGGCAAGGCCATAAAGGATTACCTTGAGACAAACGCCTTTTCAGGCTGGCTGTACAAAAGATCATGGACATTTTTCCCCTGAACTCAGAAGTCTTTAACAACTAAATGAAGTAACTGCTCACAGTGCAGGTATCTGATCTGTGGAAATAGGCTAGAAATCTGCTTTTTTTTAAATGTGGATATTTTGAAACTGTTTTATAGTTATGTGATCAAACTCTAAGGTTAACTTTGACTCCTTATACATGATCAATATCTGGCTGGGCTGAATTGATTGTTAAATTTGTCCAAGGATTCAATTGCGTACTAAACCTAAACTCAGGAGTTTCTGGAAGGATAAAAAAACACACCAAACTTTCTCTAAAAGCAACCACACAAGCTGTCGGATTTCCCCTTTCTGATACATAAACCAGTGTCTGCAGGCTTTCAGGGGCATAAGAAAAAAAGAAGGTGCAAACTGCAAACACATTTTTTTCCTTCTCCTTTTCTTCTGCTACCTGTCGAGATGCTCCAGTGACTACCCTGAACATTTGGAAGAAACCAATCATCACCTTTGCACGACTTTTCTCTCACCTGCCTCTGCTGCCTCCAGCCTCCTGGGGAAATGTGCTCGGCTAAAAGCTCAAGTGTATTTCAGACAAAACAGCTCGTCTACTTATGAAGGCGCATTAAAAAGAGAGGTAATGAAGGCGAGGAGACAGCTCTGTGCCTTATGTGTGTTTGAATAATTGTGGGTGGTGTGGCCGCTTTGCAGTGACCATGGATGAACCCTTACCTCGATCTGAACATACAATTAATTTAAAATACACAAAAATGACGACATTAAAAAGCCTAAAAATTTACTCTATAAATGTCTATTAATTTTAAAGTTAAAATAATCACTACATTTTCCACCCTCACGCTGATATTTGATGAAACAACACCAAAAATCAGCTGAATTAATGATGAACCAGAGCACTGAAACAGTGACATCTGGTGGCTGTTCTGGCCGACTGCATCCCAGACAGCCAACCCTCTTTGTTGATCAGTCACATTCCTTGACCTCAAATGTGCTAAAAAACATAACTTCAAGTCTAGCAGGCTTTCTCCTGAGACTTTCTTTTTTTTTATGTCTGCAATCAGTCTGTGTGTTAGTTTGTGTAAGTGCGGCTGAACAAACAGGAGCAGGAAGCAGAAGCTCCTGTGCAGGTAGAGAAGAGGACACAGGATGAATGCCTGAATGTGACTCCCTGGAGCCCTTTGAATGAAAACTGCAAAACAGGAATGATTACTGCTAGTCCTGTGGATGTGACTCTGAAACTGGCGTATGAATGGAATGATGCATAAAGAAAAGACATCCAAAACCAGACTGTTCCTCATTAACTAGCTCCATTAAGGTATCTCAGTATATGTTCCCAGAAAAATGTTTTAATTACGCAAAGTTAAAGATAGGAAGGAGGACAAAAAGGACACAGGAAAGCATTTGTTAGTCATTCAGTCAGTTACTCCTAACAAGTACAGTATGCAGCAACTTTTATCTTTTTCCTCTAGAAGAAAGTGAAGGATAAAGGGTGTGTCAGGAGTTTACTAATGCTGGCTACACACGAACCAGATTCTTTATCGGGCTTTTTTGTTTTTGCTTGCAAAACGGAACGCACGCCAGGACAGCAAGCTGACGACAACAATCGTCCTCCATGTTTGTTTTTCTACTGAAGTCGCGTTTGATCAAGCAAGTTTCTGTGAGATCTTGTGTCTGTGGAATTGTTACTACATAGAGAAAGACAGTGGTCTCGCGGTCCGGCCCAATCGTCTAGTGGTTGTTTGTTCGGACGATTATGTTGTTAAAAATCGGTTTAAACTGTTCTTGTGTCTGTGGTCTCCCACCTTTTTAAAATCGATTAATAATGGAAAATCTTACAGTTTGTAACAAGCCTAAAGCAGTGCTGTAGTATCAGCACAGTTTTGATTAAGTCATAGGCAAGAGGGGAGCTGATATTCAGTATGACAGTACAACAGTTCTGAAAGCAGCGTACAATCATAAAAGGCAATCGGCGACAACAGAAGATAATTGTGTGGTTATTCAACTTTACCTTTGAATCCTCTGTTTGCTCTTTCTTTGACTGACACAATAAGTTCTATTCGAAGTGTTAGTTAACAGAACTCAGAACGTCGGGCTGAGGTGGGTTGATACATAACGTTAAAGCTGCTCCTGTGAGGAGATTTTATCTGGTAATGAAACTTCATACTGAGGCCTCTTTATGACCTACGAGAGCAAACGAGTCCATGAGAGCATTAAACATTGATTAGTCCTATGTACTGTAGATAATTAATATGTCTGCCGCCCACGCAGCGTGTTAGTCGTCAGACATGGCCGTTAACAGCAGGCTGCAAAAAACTACTTTTAAAAATTATTTCACAACAAAGATTTAGTGTGAGTTTCACATTTGGCACTTACAATAAGGAAGGGTGATACTTTGTTGTTGTTGTTGTTGTTGTTGTTGTTGTTGTTGTAAAACACTACTTACAGGACAAGATCATCAAAATGAGCCGTTCTCTGTCAATTCCTGCTCTGTCCACAGGGGGCGCCAAACATGACACAACCTTAAAATTCCTTACAGGAGCTTTAAAAGACCCTATGATGTTTTACTCTATATCAACACTCATGGAAGGCTTCTTGTCCAATCAGATGACTTGAGTGTTCAGTTCAGCAGAAAAAACTCCAGGGGATCATCTTCATATTTAACGACTACTTCATTGTGTCTTTCTACACAGGAATTAAATCATCCAATTTTTTCCTGGAAATTAGTAATCTGTGCGATGACTATTCTTTGTTACAAGAAACACATCTTCCCCCGTCTGACTCATTGGTGATGACTGGTCCGACAATAATAGCAGCAGGTCCAGTGTTTGGACAGAAACCCAGTCAGACCCCCTTTGGAAACACAAAAGACTTTACCTCCGCTCCCCCGAGGGCCATTACTTCTGATTGTGGCCACAAGGTCAGCCTGCAGACCTTCCTAAAGGACAAGGTCCGGCCCTGCAGCCCCCTTACCGGTTGCGCAGCATATCCTGACTTCACTGCTATGACAACAGCCAGAGCTGCATTTGTTGTTCAGTGAAAGCAACAATAGGAATTAAAGTTAGAGCAGCAGGCAGCCATCCACTGACTGAGAACTAGACTAGCTGTTTGGTCCTGAGGGTAAAAAAAAAAGATTCACATTTTGAAAAGGTTTCTGAGAGTTCAGAAAGTTTGTTTTTAGAGAATGAAAATATAAACGTCATGTTTGTGGGAATATTAATTGAAAAAACAAGCTGACTTTTGTGATGGTAATAATGGAGACTGCAAAAAGAGGGGAAAATAGTGTGTGAACATGCAAGCAAAATGCAAACAGGTGCAGGACAAAAAAAAATCAGCACACAGTTTTGTTTGTTCAACAGGTGAGAATGATTGTTTGCTGATTGCCTCACTTTAGAAAAGACTGCATGGCCGTATCCGAATTGCCAAGTAAATACTGAATCTTTCAGTATGCAGTACGTACTATCCGTGCTGCATACTGTTAGTACCTACTATTCAGTATGCACACACAGTAGGCAGATATTTGTGCCTACTTCTTCTGATTCATTCAGTATGGAAGTGACGTCATTTACGTTTCCCGAACTGGCCGCATCCACCCGTTTTTTTGTTTTTTTTGTTTAACTTTATTCAAGAAGAGTAATGCGCATATACAGTCAGGTAAACAAAAATACAATATCACAATGTAAATCAAGTAAAAGGCAGATTAAATAACTAAATAACATACAGTACATACAGGAAAGTACAAATGAAAGACAGTAATATACAGAATATAAAATAAACCAATAAAGACGCTTTTAAATAGTTAAATCATTATTTAAATCGAGGGGGAAAGGTTTTATAATAATGCAGATATTTGTTATATTGTCTGTTGTTAATTTAAAGTAGTGATTTCAGTCGGGACTTTAAATTAAGATTAATTAAAAATTGATTCAATTAATCCACGCTCGTTTGTTTGGATTTGGAGGCGGACGTGACGTGACGATTTACAGCATTGTGGGTGGTAAAACACAATTCATTTCCTGAAAGCACACATCCGATCCATACTGCATAAAACCCGGAAGTTAGTATCCATACTGAAATGTTCAGTATACTGCGCGGACCCAAAAAATGCATACTGAATGACCACGAAAGTTCAGTATACTGAAACTCCATACTGAATAGTACGTACTGCATACTGAACTGTGACTATTCAGAAAGGGCCCATGTCTCCTGCCACATGTGCCTGAAGGAGATCCTTTGGATCAAAACGTTGCCCTGTTAAAATAAAGTCGCTCATCTGGAGCTGAACAGTATGCAGACTTTTCATTTGAACGTATTCAAAACAATCTGATTGACTTGTCTTTGTGGTTTTGGAAACTAAAAGAAGTCACAGAAAACTAAAAGTAGAAAAGTAGAACTCTAGAGAACAGCAATACTAAGGCTGTCAGTGGAATGAAGTCAGATCAAATAAAAGGTAGAAAATATGTTATGTTCATACAAAATATGTGCAATAGGATTAATTTAAAAACTTGTACAACATCTACATTATCGTATAGTTCAGTGTAAAACTGTAGAGTAAAGTATAGAGTCGTTTTGTGTAGAATTAAATGCACAGGATTTTTTCCTGTTTGGAAAGTACGCTGGTGCCCCTGTCGCCATATTCTGTAGCCTGTAGTCTCTGACTGTTTTCATGGAGATCACTGTTTACCGAGGACAGCACTTCATGAATTTGTCATCACTAACTGTAATGACAGTATTATACCAATGTGGTGGCGGCGCTAAATCGTAATCAGTCCAGAAAAGGTGCTGCAAAAACTGCCAAAGAGGAAGAAAAGTAAAAGGAGATGAAGAAGTGAAGAGTTTTCAAAGGGGTGCAGATGGCCTAGCTGTTACGTCGCGCCCCGTGTATGAAGGCTATAGTCCTCCACTCTCTCCCTGATTTCCTACTCTATTCACTGTCCAAATAAAGGCTAAAAATGCCCAGTTGCTGGTGTTTCTGTTTTTTTTTTTTGGCAATAGGCAAGCCCCTAGAAATATCCAGCTTCCAGTTAACTAATGTAGTCCAAAAATCTAAATTATTTATGTGGATGTCTGATTTGGACTTCACAAAGGCATATGTAGCATCTGAACTGGACTCAGAGAAGTTAAAAGATCCAAAATTTGGAGTTTAAACTGAACTCACTCGGTGGTTGCAGACACGGCTGGGTCACCTCCAGATTCCTCTTCACTCTTCCTCCATCTCCACATTTCTGGAGAGGTTATAAAAAAACAGAAAACATGTCCACATAAAACGTCTCAATGTCATGAGGTCATATTTCTGTCAGGTAAAGTGCTGTGTAATAAATACTTGATGGGCTCCTACCTCACTGTGGCAGAGTTTGACGGAGCACTCCAGGTCCCACGTGGTGGACTCCAGCTCCTGCAGCTGATCTAAGGAGAAGCTGAGTCGGGTGCTGTTGGGACAGGAGCCTAAGGAGCACGTCTCTGGTATGAAGGGCAGCTCCTTCTTTACTGGACACTGGCCTTTAGAGCTCACAAAGCAGCTGATCACCTTGATGGTCAGGACAATGCTTCCAAACGTGTGCCCTGAAATCTACAGGCATCAGAGAAAAGATCAGATGAAGTGCAGCTGAACAGAAAAAAGGAGAAGAATGTTTCAAATAGGCATCGGGGAAGGGAAGTTTATAAAGATGGACATGTAGAGTGTGAGTGATGTCTTACCTCTGCATAAATCCTCTTGTCACTCTGCACCTTGGTGTTGGGGTCGAGAGGGGAGCGGTAGTCTGGGGAGGCGTAAAGCTGCATCATCAGAGGCATCTGAGCAGGGGCATTAGTTGTGCCTGGAGTGACTGTTTCTGGTACTGTTTCTGGAACTGAGAGAGAAGTAGATACAGTTAAAGAGATATCGAAATAAATTGGATAAAATACAGAATAATATTTCAAATGAATTGAAAATGATAGAACATAGAAGTGTTTCCATTTTTGAAGCAATCATATTCCTCCTGCTTTCTCAGCTCTCTCAATGCAGATATTTGCAGTACTCCATCTCCCCTATCTGTAGAAAAATGTCAAAACCGCTGAAATGAAGAGTTGGCATTTCTTCTCACGTCTCACCTGCTGCATTGTCCTTTTTCCCAAGAACCAGTAGAACCACAGAATCCTCTGGTCTGAGTTCAGTGTAGCTGGTGAAAGTGGTGGCTTTAAAGTGTTCCAGTGCTTTCCCCTGCACATCTTCTGCACCGTCACTGCTCAGGGTAAATAAAGGTGGGATGATGTGCGTCATGGAGGGGAGCAGGATCTGGTTGTTGGACTGTGGAGAGAGAAGACGAGCTCAAAGAAAGCAGTAATGTGTTTGCACATTTTCACAGGAGCAGAGGATTATTATGCATCCAGTACAAAATCACTAAGCCATGATATTAATTGAGCTCTAAATGAGAATGTAATCAAACACAGGTGGTTCTCCTAATAAATCTGATTGAACACATGGTTAAAGAACAATAAATACGCTAACTCTCTGTGCAATAACTCCTGCAGGGTGAGTGTGTGTGTGTTAGCTTACACCAAACTGGGTGTGCTGGGGGTTGAGGAGGGTCCATGTAGTGCCCTGAGGTCCTCTCAGAAACACCTTGGTCTTCTTAGCGTCAATGCGAAGGGATACATTGCTGCTATATGAGGAAATCAAAAATCACAGGAGGAGATTAAGCCAAGAAAGAAAGCAAAACAAAAAGATTTATAGGATGCGTTGTTACTCTGAAGGTTTACCGTATGCCCACATCCTCTGGGATGTTGATGATGTGGAGCTCAGCTTCAGCAGCGGGGGTCCTTAGCTGCGGGAAGCAAGATTTTAAGGACGAAGCCAAAGGTGCAGTTTCGATCCTGATGAAGTTCTTCTCTGAGACGTCTTCATTGTTTAGAACACAGAGAGGAGAGCCAGGTTTGGTTCCTGTAAAGCCACAGATATACGCATGTCACATTACTGCAGTTTAAAAATGCTCCTGTTGGAAACTTTTGGTCATGTTGACTTTGGCGCCCCCTGTGGACAAAACCTGTAACCTGTGCATTAATTGGTCGTATTTTCTGATGAAAAAACTCATCCAGGTTTATTTGAATTGTGAAAAATGATTCTTCATGATCAGAGGGTCTCAACTGTCCTAGCCTCATGACCCACCACCAACTCCATTATGAAAAATCTTGACCCTAATTTCTGATATTTACTTAATGAAAAATTGTGCAGTTTGGACTTCAGACTGTATAATCCATGTGGCAGAACACAACAACAGAACAAAACAAACATGTATAAAAAGCGCTAAATAGACTTTTCAGGCACCCATTTGGACCCACTGACAGCAGCTGTGCAGCCCACTATTGGGTCCCGACCCACCAGTTGAGAACCACTGATATATCAGAGGGATCAGTAATCATTTCAGTCTGTTTCATAAAAACTCCTCACACAAGCTTTAAGTGCAGAAAACATTCTGAAGAAATGAAGAAATGTACTTTTAGCAAAAGGACTTTCCTGATTTCACTTGAATTGTACCATTTTATTTTATTCAGTCCATTTAAAAAGATTTATTTATTTTTCCCAACCCTGTTTTGACATCTATTTTCCTTAAAACCTGATGATATTATTTTTTAAGTTGAGCTGCCCTTTGTACCTTTGATTTTAGAAAGTGCTCTGTAAATGAATCAGGCTTCTTTCTCCGTTCACTTGCTGTTCACTTCACTGACATTTCTCGGTGTTTAACTTGGTTTCCGGCAGTGAGAGAGCCCGGCTGCAACGGGAGACCAAACTGCCCGGTCAGAAGTATTAGAGCAGTCTCACGAGAGCATGCTCTGCTCAGCCTCCGACCAAATAATGGTGACGGATGGTTTACAGGTGAACACTGGGGAAAAGCCCAAAGTGCAACACACAGTTAGTTTCCAAAACACTTTGCTGAAGATGGGGATGACCAGTGCAGAGACACACAGGGTAGGCTGAAATTAGAAGAATTTGTTTTTATATCGATGTGCCATGCATTTACACACTTCATCTTTCAGGTGGACGCCAACAATACAAAGACCATGCATTCCCACTATCTGGCCATTTCCTATAGTGCATTGCCATCAAACAGTGGTGCAATTGTAGGACACTGAAGGCCCTGTCTCCATAGGTGTGGAGTCTGGTGTGTGGACAGCAGACCCCGTCCTGGTGTAGGAGGTCGGAGAGGTACTGAGTGGGCTAGGGGCATGGACAGATTTATAAGTAAGGAAGAGTATTTTATACTTGATTATGGATCTAATTGGAAGCCAGTGGAGGTGGATGAGGGTTGGGGGTGTATTGCTGCGGGGGCTTGGTGCAGGTGAGGACTCTGGCAGCAGAGTTTTGGAGCCTGTGTAGGGCTTTGCTGGTTATCCCAGACTCCATTACAGTAGTCCAGATGGGAGGTTATGAAGGCGTGGATGAGGATTTCTGCCACGGAATTGAAGAGTGATAGCTGGAGTCGGTAATTGAAAACTTTAAAAAGTGCCCCATCAGGCCGTAAAAGTATTTGTAGCTGTCATTTTGAATGCAGTTAAGACTTTTAGCTGCTTTAAGAGATGTTAACCGGCTTGCAGCTGGGCATCTATCATTCAAAAGTATCTCCCTTGACACTGCTTAACTTCTTTTTGCACTGGCTGTAGCATGACCTGAATTTCAACTTTTAACTTGTCCAAAAAACCTAAAGGCCAAGTACATATTTTCTCCTCAGCGAGTCTTCAATTTGGCAACACAGTGCAGTGTGGTTATTGCAAAGACTTTCCAGAACGCCTACAAGGAGGCCTACGCAGCTTCACCTCACACCCCATCATGAGCCGAGGGAAACAGCAAAATAGCGATGTAAACTGCTCTGCTACTTGGGTGATTTTAATGCCCTCGCGGAGTATGAGTCAGTAAAAACACTGGCTACAGTAAAAGTAAAGAGTGGGTGAAAATGCAGCATTTAAGCAGAATTTAAACAACACATTGAAAATGAGAGGGATGTTAAGCAGTCACCTACTGCACCACCCCGTGTATTTGAGGGGCCCGGTCATGCAAAGACAATCATAAAGAGAGATAAAAACTTAATGAATCCACAGAATAATGTTGAAGCTACGCTCGTACAGCATCTGCACACTTCACTTCTTTTCTTTCCACAACCATGTTAGATCTCTTCTTCGACTCAGACCGCCGTCAGCAGCCTTTGTTTGGAAATAATTGTGCTCGCATGGAGCATCCCCGCTGCTACAGCTGCCGGCAGTACAGCAACAAATAATATTCTTAATGTCCGGCCTTTGCTTAGCCGTGAACACTCACTTTGAATCAAAGTGTTTCAGTGCCTCTGTCTTTAGCATTGGTGGCTATTTGTCCACAGCTTTCGTCTTTCTAAATGCTTTGTCATATGCAAATACATCCCGTCAGCACTGAGAATGTCGAGCTCAGCACACAGCACTTTTAAAAAAAGCAGAAAATTTGCACTGACTGCATGAGATTTCCCCCATATGCTGAGCTTGTCAATGCACAGGTGTTTTTCAACATGCAGCCTTATGGAGCGTTTGTTAAAGCCTCGAAATCAGCAGTTGTGCTGTTTGTTATAGAAGATGCATTTTCCAGTTTGGTTGCAAACTCAAACATCCACATGCTTGGTGCTTTGATGAATGACAAGGGGGAAAAAAAACACTAACTTTTCTTAGTTATATTTGGTTCAGTGAACATATTATCCTCATACTATGACATCTGTAGAGCTGCTTTATTGATAATGCTGTTGTCCACCTGGCTAACTTAGTTGATAGAAGATTAAGAGGTTGAGGCGGACGTGTGTCAGGTGATATGAGCAGTTTTTATCTGTTTATATAATAAGTGAGAATATAAAAAATGTGCATGCAACATGGATGGTAATATTCATTGAGGAAGTTATTAGGTGGTTCACAAACTGACGACCTAACAACACAAAAAGTCCACTGAAGGAATGAATGGCTTTTTGCTATTTTGATAGTTTTAAAATTGTTATTTTAGATAATTGTTGCAGAAGTACTTAATTCAACTGGCAAAAATGTTTATGTTCAGGTATTTTCGGAGTATCATCTGGGCAGGATTTTTCATCAGTATTCTAACTTTATGGGACTGTGACACTTTTTGTGACACATTTCAGTAGACTGGATATTTCCTTGCAGATTTTAGGTAATTTTTATAAGAGAGTGTTCATGTGACAAATGTTGACGTATATTTTATTCACATATTTGAAGCCTGTTTTTTTCTGATTACTGATGTGATTGCATCTGAAATAAATTTGTTGATAAGAAACTGAAAAAAAGAAATTCATTATAGAATTTAAACCAAAAATGGAATAAACCAGCACTGCATTAAAAAAATGGAACGCATCTTTCTTTACAGAGTTTTCGCAGCGATTTCTTCTTCAGAAACTTGTGATGAGATAAGGTTTGTCGGCAGAGATATCTCTGGAAACAACACTGCATCATTCCCTGATTACAGTGCTGCAGTTATGTAAGCTGGAGCTGTGCGTTGGGCTGACTGTAATTACTCTGCTCTTTTCAGCACCACAAATATTGTTTTTGAAGAAACAAAGATGCAGATTACATTTTTCCAGATAAAAAATGTCGAGCTCAATAAATCTGAAGCACTTTCATGCACACAGGAAAGTTTACACTGCTGTGGCCGCCCGATACATTTCCATAATGCTGTTTCACATTCATCCTTATTTAACATTTGGACATCTTACCCGATGCTGTAATGACTCTCTTCAAACGTACAAGTTATTTAATATTAGATCATAAAGTAAATCACACTCAGACAGAAATCCTCCTCACCTTTCGTCGCTGCCACTGTGAGCGATTTCAGGTTTTGGATGGTGGTGAATGATGTCACGCCTCCAAACTTGTGCTTTGCCCACGCGACCAGCTCCTCCTTACTTTGTGTGGGGAAGTCTTCCATGTGGACGTTGCTGGGATTCTGACTAGGGAAAAGGGTGAGCGTGGAGGCATTGTTTATCTGCAAAGGAGAACCAGAGTCATCGCCAATTAATTTTATGACACACTTTTTTACAGAAAAGAAAACGGTCAAAATCCCCCCCACCCCCCACCCCCCATGTCCTGAAAGGCGTGAGTCTGTCTGTTTCACACTGCTACAAAAACACAGAATCCAATGAGTCAGCTTTATATTTATTTTTAATTACCTCCAGTCGGCTCACACTTTGTCAAATCAAACATTTTTAGCCCGACCCTCTTATTCTCCTCTATTACTTTTTTCTTACGCTCCACCCAACTCTCCCTCCATTCTCTGAGCAGGCTCCTGTTAAAAAGAAATGTTTATTATGGTTAAGTGTCCACCAGTACAGTTGCACAACCCTGTTGGAGCCATGGTCTTTCCTTTGCTTCCTGAGTGGGGCCAGGAAATGGGACTTTTTTAGCTCTGTGCGTCACCGCAGTCGGCTGGAATCTGGCTCCATACAAGGTATAAATATATACATCCATCCCCATCGACTAGACACTGCTGTTTCCTCGTCTAGGCCGATGGGAAATAATGGAGTTTACATTAAGCTAAGCATGATAAAGAGGGCAGAAAAATGCACTGAGAAGAAAAAAAAAAGAATAGACGGACGGAGTAAGCCTTTTAAAAAACTTAACAAATAAAAAGGCAAGACAGAAAGCATTCATTTTATTTTTACTCAGTCCTCAACGGATTATGATCTACTCTGATTCGTCCGTATATCTTCTTCAGCGAGCCAAAGTCTGAAGTAGAAAATAAAGTGCTTCACAAGTACTGCTACACTTCATTGTGTAAACGTTTATACCCAGTGACACACAGGAACAGTTCACTTTGCAGAACAAAACTAGATGTTTAGGAGTGCTACATGACAACATCAGAAAGACAAGTATACTGCATAAAGAAAACTGGTGGAAGCATTTCAATTCTATCTTTATTGGGCTGTTGAATTGGCTCTAAAATGCACTGTATTTCTGACTCGGAAATGATTTAGTTTCTATTGTCTCATAATTATTTAAAGCTCCTGTTATGAACTTTTGTGTTGATTTTGGCGCCCCCTGTGGACAAAGTTGTACCTCTAATCTCTTTGCTAGTGTTTTCTGCTGAAAAACTCAGCCTGCTTTTTTAATTTAAAGGAATGTGCATGATTAGACGATTTAAGGGTTAAAAGTCATCAACCACGCTAGTTGGCACCAGAATTACTAAATTATTAATATTTTGGCCCTCAATGCCGGTCAAATATTGTGCTCAGACTGCAATGCAGCCACCCGCAAACAGCTGGGGCTATAGCCATAGACTGGCTGTCTCCGATTATAATGCCTACTCTCCCTGCTCTAGTACCCAGATGTAAACCAGCACGGTAAAACGATAGCATCTCGTAGAAGCAGAGCTGTTTGGCAATGTTTTGATCTAGAAAATGGAGATAAAAATGTACGCGGGTTTTGTCAGGTTAAACTGTAAATATGACTGGAGCATCCACATTTAACACAGACATGTGGACGTTAACCTGCAGGGAAGACAGAAGGTGGGTTGTGCTAGCACTGCTGACGTTAGCCACGCTCAGGCTCCAAAAACCGAATTACATACTTTTCCTGCAGATAATGAATTAAATAAATTGTGCTGAATTTAAACTGTTTTCTTTCCTTTAGACTAGTCGGTCTATCTGAATTTCAGGCATTAACAATTTTGGCTGATGGTCTGGTTTGCTGTTGTAGCTCATGATGAGGCATCAATGACTTAGTCTGTTTAACACCCGGCCCAAAACTCCTCACAGGAGTTTTAATAATTTTTCACCACATAACAGCGCCTACAACAGATGGACATTTGGAGTGAATGAGCTTGCTTTGTTTAAATAATAAAGCATTCCTCTCTGGACCTGTCTAGTACGTGTGACTACTTGTGAGTGTGTCCTTGCGTCACAAAGCGGCAGAAGAAGAAAAAAAAGAGGTGGAAGCCAAGTAAGCCCGAGGGAGCCGCGAGTCTTTCTCCATGAATATTTGATTGACGCAAGATCAAAAAATAGAGTGAGGGGAAACAACATAAATGAGAAGAGGGAAAACCAGTCACGACAAAACCAGGCGGACAGGGAGGGGAGGGCCAAGGAAAAACGAACGGGAAGAAAAAAAAAAAGGGAAATAACAATGGCAATCGTTTTAATGATTACAGTGGAATTTAACTGAGATTAGGCTCTGAGGAATGGTTTTGATATTCTGCAGGCTCACAGGAAAGTTCAGGGAACCCAGAGATGTTTTGAGAGAGAAGTGGATCACCATCTGCACTTCTGATGATGCTTCTTTCCCATGAGTTTGCTTTGGGATTGATGTCGGACTTTCAGAAGCTTGGCTCCATCTTTTTCATCTCATCGTTTACCTAATATTCTTTTATAAAATGCCATCTTTTTCAAAGGAATACTGCTTTATTTTCAACCTGTGCTCTATTTCACCATGTTGGGGTGTGTATGTTTTTATAGAAGATTCAACAGACAGCAGCTGTGAGTCAGGCTGTGATGGTTGCAATGTTATCCTTTGGGGCAAATGCAGCTGACTGAAGCGTGGTCATTACGAGTGCTTGTTCACAAACAGGCTCAGATTGTTATTCTCAGATTTGAAAGGTAAGATCCTTTATATTTAGCTAGAAACAGCTGTTACACCGCTCTATTCAAAGCCATCAGAATCCATTGAAAACCAAAGTGATTTCACTTTGCTGGTTTGCCTCCTCCACCATTAGTTTGTTTGTAACTTCCTTTTTGTTGATTTGTGTTGGATCTGAGTAAAACCTTTTTAAAACCATTTCAAACCATGATACAAACAAACTCTGCAATCAAGGCAAGGGTAGACCACCAACTGCCATTTTAGTGCCAATTACCACATTTTTGTGTTTGGAAATGAAGTTTAGTGTGTTTGGAACAAGCAGCAACCGCCTGTGTTGAATATGAAGCAAATATGGAAATGCCAAACAACTACACTTACAAGAGTGTCCACTTGAAGCTGGCTGAAAAAAGCCAAGAAATCCACATCGGGTCCCATTTTTGTGATAGAAAGAAACATTTCAAATTCAGTGACTACCATCGTGTGCTTCAAAACGCCTCTTTAGAAACCAATTGGGGACGTCATAAGACTACATCCATGTTTTAAACAGTCTTTGGTTTGAAACTGCTTGAACAAAAAGGGTCTTGCTTGTGTAGGAATCCTTTTCCCACCGCTTTAACACGCCCTGAATGACAATCTGAGCCTATCGATGGCAAAATGAAGCAAGTAAGATCATAACATTGCTGCTGGCTGAAGGGATCTTTTGGGGCAGTGCGTCTGTCACACACAAAAGCACATGAATATAGGATCCAGGTTGAAAATACTGGAATCTCTCTTTAATAGATTCTGGTATAGTAAAAGGAAATACATTACACTGCATTAAAATTCAGTGAAAACCTGCTGTTATGACTTTTAGGCTTATTTGACAAAAAAAATATTGCTGTACTTTGTGATTTGTCATGTTTGTTTTTTAACAACTGTGAGCTCTGGGAGGACAAAACAGGCAGTGATTGTGACACTGAGCCAAGCTGTCAAGCTAGTGACGTACTTTCTGCGATGCAGAACAGATGCTGTTCCTCTTACTCTGCAATCTGCAGTTAAACACCATTATCCCCCAGCGGTACTGCTCATCCCACGAAAACATCCTGCAGTCACAGGCGATGTTGTCCAGACGCTCCACAGGACATGATACAGGATGTGGTAGCACACGGCTGTCACCATATCACTAACTGGTGACATTCCTGTAAATATCTCGACACTCTGACTGGTCAGCTTTTTTTGTATTTGTTTGTGATTTTTTTTTAAATGTCCAAACGTGAAATCTGTTTTCACAAAACTGTTTTTTTCTTCCTGTTGTTTAATTTGATGTCAGTTATGATCTTGACAAATCATTATTAAGTCTTAGTGATGCATTCGAGTTCAGAGGGAAAGCTCTGACATGTGAGATGCACAACTGCTTCGCACTTAAGAGCTACTTGTCAAACTTTGTAAAGTGGAGAATAAACAACTTGCTCAAACTGTGTCATGCATTCAATAAGAATGAAGTGCTTGTGTAATGTTGTAAAGGTTTCGTTTAGCAGCCGACTATCGAGATGTCAAGTGTTCCCAAAAAGTCAACAGGTCCAGGAATCCACAGTGATGATAGAAGTTTGTAGGAAAGAAATAAAGGAGATAAAATGTTCATTCATTGTGATTCTTCCTCTCCGGGAAGTCTGAAATCTAAATTCACCTGCCAGCTGAACGGATGTGACTCTGGTGGCTGCTGCTTAGGTTAAAAAAACAAAACACTTCAGCCAGTGTACATAAAGTACAACTTGGATAAAGGACAGCATGTATGATGCAGAGTTGACACAATGGTTCAAGAGCAGCGGAGGCTTATAATGCCGACTTTACAGACCAGTAAGCCTTGGAATATGTCAATAATGTAATTGCAGTTGAACCTGGGCCGCCCATGACTACAGCTTCTGTACATTAGGGGCGCATACTAACCACCAGGACGCCCTATTTATAGTCAAGTTTGAGGCAATCTTTATCATTTAAACACCCTGTTTAGGACTATCTATGCAGCTGTTTATATTGGCGTTAAATGTATTCTTGAGTTTTCTGCTCGAATAAACATGAACTTGATTTATTCACCTTTTTAGCTTCATCGCCAACTGAGATTTCAATAGTTAGAGCAAACTGTGAAAACTGCAACACTTCATCCTCATCACAGTAGTATTCCTTTATTTAATCAGACACTCAAGCAGCTTCATAAAAGTTGTTTTGTAGCCTCTATGGGTTTAACTTTAAGATATAATTTGAGGACAGCGTGTTAAAGTCAGATTCTCCAATTTCATTGGAACATTAATTCTGTTGCTGAAGCCATCAGCCCCTCTCGTTGCCGGCCGCTTTAAAATTGTCTTTTACAGGTTTTATGGTGTGGATAATAAAAACACAACAACCCAAACCGCCTCGTTCAGAGCGGCCACGGGGGGATATCTATGGAAAAAAAAACAACATTCTTCACTGTCTCTCTTAACAGGCGCGGAGAGCCTGCACAGCTGGGGCCGTTTGACTTGGAGTTAAAACAGCTGGCACTCGACAGAAGTTAAGTACATGTGGAGAAATTTGGAAATTATTCAATAATGAAAAAATAACCACTTACACTGGTTTTTAATTTGTCATGATTAGCTAGAACTAACACAAAGAAAGAGTCACACAAGAAATAACTCAGTGGTGTGTTGCACATAAATTAAAATGCATCCATCCACCCTGCACCAAGAATAAAAAGGGGTTGACTTGGATAGAAAAAGAAGAGGCAGTACTCACATAGATGTTGACATCTGCACTGATGTTGTATAGCCCATAGGCCGTGTCTTGAGATGTGAGGATAAGATTCATTGCTTTGGCGTTGGTCATCTTCAGATCGAACATTCCCCCAACCTGAAAGGAAGAGAAAAAAGTTTCATCCAAGTTATACTTAAAATCATCCTAATTTGTTGTACATTTAAGTGCTATTAAGTGTCAACTATCTGGAAAATCTAAGACTTCTTAGACATGCTAATGGGTTAACATATTCTTTCAGAGTTTGGAGTTTATGGTTGTGTTTCAGGCAGAAGAAGTTTGGCATCGGTGTAAACCTCCAACAGCAACTCTGGGACTGATTAGGAGGAAATCAACAGGCAGAAATATTCTCTCACACTATGAAGCCATCCATATGGGATCTACTGTGCTGCCAATAATGAGATTTTTTGGTAAGAACACCATGCTGAGTATGTGCTGTACAATACATACAAAGAACTAAAATCAAAAGACAGAACATTTTTCTACAACATGTTTTGGAGTACATCAAACAACGCTTCATCATGCTGCTATTGGATTATTGTGTTATACAGCAGCACAGTGTGGGGAGTATTTTGTCCATATTCTTGTCAACTTGTAAACACATACCAGGCTCCAGATACCTCAAACAAATACACTGCTAATGAACTGACAGTTCTTTCACACCAAGTTGCACAAACTCTTAAGTTTTCCAATCTCTTTACATTAAAAAAAAACAGCGTTTGTCCTTTAAATTTGCTGCGAGAGTTCAGTAATACATTTGTCAAATTATAATAATCTAGTTGTCTTTTAATGAGGTGATGACATTTTAAATTATTCTTGCTAAAGGCCTATTATATCTTTTCTCTATATCGATCACAGGCCACTTGAAATGATTCGTTTCAGTATTTTGCAGGCAGATTTTGGAATATCAGAAAATATATCAATGTCTTCTTTTCTGAGCAATTGATTGTACAAGAGGCATTTCATGAATGCTGAGAAACTGTTGGGTTCAACAGCAGTTGGACCCCGGACAACTGGTCGTCTCTAAAGATGGTGCGAGAGAGCACAGCACGAGCTCCACATACACACATTCAGATATGCACACACGCACACACACACACACACACACACACGCTTCCCTGCTGACTCTGTTGATCCCCTCTCATCCCTGTAACGCCTCTGTTACTACCTCATTAAACGGATATTACTATCCCCCAACTTGCAGACCTCTCCATATTGCATGGAGTGTCACTTAATGAACATATCTTAAAAGACATTTTTGATTGAAAAATAGTTCCGACTGGAGGAACCCCCTTGAGAAAAGACAATTATCCACGTTTAAATCAAATGTAGACATGTGCATGCTGTGGCAGACATCTGAGGAGGCCTTGTAGACAGACAGGATGCTGTGTTTGTTGTCTGCCTCCATATTGACACAGATGTAATGAGGTAATACAGCTTGCTTCCATTCTTACCTCTAAACAAGGGCACAGAAAAAAGTCCAAGTTAAATATTTACCTGACGTCAAATAAGCTGCATTTTCTAATTTATGCTGGTTGTCTTCATACCGCGGCTAATCCCGGCGGTGTACTGTATATTCAACCTCATTAGCATAATTTAACACATAATGTAATACCTCATTAACCGTATTTCAAGCTGAGGGTAACACAATGGTGATGTGATATGCTAATCACCTCCACAGTCGCTCTATGAATCAGCTGTAATTAGCATGCGCCACATGTGCGCAGGCTAAAGCTTCTACAGCGGAGTTTTATGGACAGAAGAGGTGGTGAGTAAACCTTTTCACTGAAGAATAATACCTCTGGCTTTGGAGGGATTGTTTTTTCTTTCTATTCCAGGACTAACCTTATTCCAATGAATCTGAATTCATATTACGCTTATTTCTGTAATATTGCCAAAATAATTGGGTTAAGGAAAGTGGAAGAGTTATGGATTTGAAATTGGTTCAATTTTATGACTGAATGCATAAGAAATATCTTTGAGTGAGGCTTTGAGGAAATTTAACACTCATAAATACACATTTCTGCTTTCATACGTCTGTGATTCCCTTCGACAGCAAATACTTTATTCTGTTAAATTATGTTTATTTGAAGTTGGATTGTTCTGAGAGCTGAAGCCTGCTGGGAAGACAATGAGCATGCTGCTGGAAACAGTGTGAATCCCTAATATTAAATTCATTTACTCGCTACCTGATGCTGCCGGAGTTTGATCCAAGAGAATCCTGATGAGCTCAGACCTGAGCTACGGAAATATTCAGACTAAATTAGGTCTGAGGAGACCATCAACAAATTGCCTTTGAGCCGACACAGATGCCCTGAAAAGAGAGGCTCGCAATGGGTAGAGGGATCTGTCATTACTCACAGAGGCACACAACATATTATCAATGTCTTGTACAGACTTGGCTTCTGCATAATACCTGCTGCAGCTAATAAATGTGTAAAGCCGCCTCTTATTTAAATTGGCCAAAGGGGGCACTGCAGTCCCAGGTGAAAACATGGCAGCATTTGTAACAGCATGAAAACGTAGTCTGAACTTTTTTGTTGCCTACGTTGGTGAAATGTTTTGACACTTTACTTCCAATCTTCATGGCAAAATAATTTAACCGAGACCCCGTAGCTGCAAGAGCGCCTGTTCTATATTTTACTAGAGCACCCAAGGGGCTGTCCCTTCTCAGTGTTCCTTCCTCTGATTTCTACCTTTCTTTAATTAGGGATGATCCAGGGTGAAACATGTCCTAGTCAGGTAAAACAGAAATGTAAATTCAGGCTAACTGTCAAGTCTAAAAGGTCAGAAAACACTCAGAAACAGTCTAACTTTAGTACAAATTATTTAAATATTGTCTGAGTGTGGCTAACACCGCCAGCCTTTGGTCCTCCTCTGCAGGTTAACATCCACATGCCCCTGCTGAATGTGGTTATGTATTGCTCCAGTGTATATATATATATATATATATATATATATGTGTGTATTTGGCCAGTGTTAACCTGTTAACCTGACACAGCTTAAACACTTTTTTAGCTACATTTGTAGATCAAAACACTGCCAAACCACGCTGCTACTATTAAATGTCGCTGTGCTTGTTTACATCCGGGTTGTAGAGCAAGGAGAGCAGGCCCGTTAACAGCTCAAATGTTTGAGTACAACATTAGACCAGCATGCAGAGCCGATAAAAATATTAAGAATACTTCTAATCAACTCTAAAGAGGGTGGTGACGTTGAACAGTTGACTAAACACATACGTGTCTAGTTTCCATTTAAATCCTAAAACCTACCTTGAACTTAGTGATGACTAATTTAAGATGCTCTTTTCAAACATTGCTTTTAAGATTATAGATATTGATAACAGTTATATAGCTTTTTTGTTTCCATATTTTGATCCCAACTCAGTGTACATCGCCACAAATTCAACAAAAGTATCTTCAGAGAGTATTTTCGATTGTGACAGCCCACTGTTGAAAAGATGTTTTGCGCTGCTTATTTGAAGACGATGATACAAGGTCTAAGTTTAGACCTGATTTAACATCACCCTATCATCACATATTCACACAGCGGTTTTGAAGTAGCATCTCATATTTATAGTGAATTTATTTAAGTGAGCAGTCCATCACAGTCACCAACGAAAACGAGTTACACAGGAGTAGAACCATTCTTAAACTCTCCACTGCCTGAATTCAGATCTGATGCTCTCCAATGTAAGCCACAGAAACGCCCCTCCTGTCAGGTTTAAAATAAATACATCAGCACCCAAGAGTCTTTTTGTCGAGGTAGTCAGAGCTGTACAACCTTAGTACCTGCGTATGCATCTTTTTTTCAGCTTCTTCTATGCTGACTGATAAATAAAATGGGTTGAAATTACATCTTTATCGTAGACATTACACCCTGCTGCAAAATGGTTTTAGGCAATCGCGGCTACAGTCATCATTTCAGTCAACAAATTCTCAAAATTATAACTCAAAATGGTGATTCTGGTGTTTCAGTACAGCATCACAGTTAGTGCTCACTGGGTTGAATTGAAACTGAATTGTTTTTTATTTAAATGGGAAAAAAGAGATCATCAATTTCTTTCTGATTTTAAAGACAGAGCTGTTTGTTTGGAGTCAGTTGCTCGTCTTAGTCAGGGTTCTTCGCTTGCTGCAGCACCATTGTACATTTCTACAGTTCTAGAGGTTTAGAGCTCAAAAGAATGGAGGAACATAAAAGGGACTTAGTTATAACTTCCAACACTTTGAATTGTGGTGTAACAATGTCTTCACGGAAACACAACTTTGTTTTCACTCGAATCGCGGCGCACGTACTTGCAGTAAATGAATGAATGGCATTTCCTTTGGAGTTCACATAGATACCTTTCCTTAAATACTCTTCTCTAATGAGCCTCTTTGTCTCCCTGTCTTGTTTCCCTCCCTTCATCCTTTTGGGACTTTCATTCTTTCGTATTGAACTCTGAAACACGACTGACCCTGATCACTCACCTTTTGCTACTTTTGTTCCTGCACTTTCAAGATACAATTGTTTTTCTATTTTTTTTTTCTCGAGAGCATTTTTTTGAAGGGCCTTCGCTGATGTTGTTTCCAGTTATTCTTTTGGCTCTCTCCCTTAACTCGCATTGGCTCCGTTGGTCTCGTCTCGGCCGCGTGCCAAGACCCCGACTACCTTGGCCTGTGTGTGACATCAGTGGGCCCTGTTCAAGCAGCTCCTCCCTATGAATTCTCCTGGCCTGTGCCCCCCCCCTTCATGCTCCTCTTTCTAATTCTCCGCACGGTCAAAGTGTGAGAGTCGACTGTCTCTGGCAGGTTGTAAATCAGTATGAAAAACAAAAGGGGATGGGGAAAGAGGGTGATAACAAAATTTAAAGGACAAAGAAAGGATGAGGGGAGAGCAAAAGCTCCCGTCTGACTGCTGGACGGTTTGGCAAGAGATGAAGTCGTTCCCTTTTCCTCAGTGTGTTCACAAGAAAAATCTGCTCTAAACAGACAGTCGAGCAGATAACAAGTCTCTGTGAGGAGAATTTATGTGCACTTTCTTCTTTGGTTTGATAAAACATCCACTCATGGTCCCAAATGAGAACAGGATATGCTAACTCTGTCAAACATCCATTGCAT